TTCAGGCCTTCTAGCCCACTGTAGCTAGTCCCTGGGACAACGGATTTTGAGTTCTGCTTCGACTTAGTGATTTATTTAAGTTGCTTTGTCACTTAGAGAGAGGATTAGATTGGAATAATAACTGTATTTTGGGTTTCAGATTAATTTAGGTTCTAAACTATAAGGGTTTCGGCATCAGAATACAAGTTCTTCGGTTTTGAGGACCACTAGCCAGCCAAGAGTGCAGCTAGTCAAGCCTAAGTGCTTGATAGACTTAGTATTTGGGTTTCGGAGTTCATTGGGTTTTGGAATATTCTAAGTTGATTTGGAGCACAATTGTGCATTGATTCTAAGTCCTAATTATACTTAAACATTGCTATAAACTACTCTCATGAGTATTGCATCTTTGAAAGCAAGATAGAGTTGAATAACTGTCTTTATTGACTGTTTCTTTGATTTTACTTAAGACTGCAAGAGTGCTTCTATTGTACTTGAAGCAACTGACCTCAACTGTATTTGGTGATTGTGTATTGAGTGGTTAGGTGTTGGTGTTTGAGAGTTCATTCCTCATTCACTTCTCTTAGTCACTTAGCTGTTACCAAGCACATCAACAGTGGACTCAGTTGATCACCCAAAGTGCAAGGTGACCTCTGTTTATCACATGTTTCCATTCACATAACACTTAGGCTTAACACATAACATCCACACATGTTATATATTTGGACTTAGGTGTGATTGTATGAATGCAATACAGCATCTATTTACCATGTGATATTGGACATGTGTCACTTGGCCCTAACATCATTATGCTCATTGTTCTCAAGCATTGTTACTGTCTACAAAAGGGCTGTTGTGCATCATCAAGTATTGTTGTCACATTGAAAGACAATGACAGACTTGGCTTGTTGTGATGACTTAGCTGATCCCATGGTCTTAAGCACTGGTATAGGCATCCTGATTAAGCATAAATAGAGGTTAAAATGAAGAGAAAAGGGGAAAAATCATAATATTAAGCCTATCCCATGGTTCTGAGTGCTGGTTTAGGCACCCTGACTAAGTATAAAGAGGGGTTCATCAAGAAAAGAAATGAGACAATCATAACAGGAGCAGAATCCATCAGGTGAGAAAAAAGTGGATAAAGTGGGTGCTAGGAGCAGATGGCTATCCAAGTTGATATTCAAACTAAGTATCTACAACAATTATATGTGGTTTATATACTAGCAGTAGCTAAATCCAAGTCAAGGTCTATTGGGCTCCAGTGTCAACTATTCACTACCATGTTCAGAGTCTAGATACTACAATGTGAAATATGAATGTGAAATGATAAAGGTAAAATAAAATTAGTAGTAGTGGGGAATGGCCAGAAGCCATTGGAACTTGGCAGTTGAATTCTAGATTGGTCAAGATAAATGGAGACTGGTGGCATGTGCATAACACTATCATAAATTGGTGTACATTGGTATAAAAACTGAGGCAAGAGGCTGCATAGTCAGCTGTTAATCATAGCTGACTTTCTCTGCAAGCTATATCCATTATCCCCATGCTAGGTGTGCTGAATGGATACTGGTCCAGTTTCTGTGGGTAAGGTCTTCCCATCTTGGTGATGTGCCTGGCAGCATAAATGAATATACATCACAATCCTTTTCAATATGGATTAGTTGATAAATGGGGCCCTAGATTTGAGAATTGAATAGTGTAAGGCTTGTACAAGGGCATATTGCTGGAGGGAGGTGACAGACACTGATAGTATTGCAACAGACAGTAAGAATCTCTTTGTTTGATAAATGTTTTACATAGAAATCATAGGTTTTATTCATATGGATATCACTAAAAATGAATAGTCTACAGTGACAAGAGAGAAAAGATTACATTGCCAAAGGTTTGATACAACATGCTTAAAATCCTGTCAGAGGGAACCATAGTGGGAAAAATCAGGAACCTGGTGCATGTACTACTACAAGATTTGTACCTGAGTGGGTCCAATCTGGGCTGGTCCCTGACATGATCCAACAAGTGTTTTTGGGAGCAGTTGGGAACTAAGGTGCAGGATATGTGAGCTCATCATCATCAACAGTGACTAGGGCAAGTAGAGTAACCTGTGACCAGTGAGAACCTAATTTGGGCAGCACAGTAGAGTATATATCATTGCATCATGGTAGAATACATTCATTAATACATTTATGGTTTGGAACTGTGGATGATATATCATTCCAGTATGGACTGGTGGGCATTCATTGTCAGCAACTTCATGCTTCCTCAATTCAAACCTGTGGGTTTTGTCATTGTTGAGAACCCTCCACATAGCATAGATTCTAATGGTCTTATGAATCTTCATATGATTGTTTTTCCCTTTTGTGTCACACAATTATAATTGAATCCTCTCATAGCTGACAGCACCATCCTTGGTATTATCCTACTCCAACAGGGTGTGCCATTTCTTTGATCAGCTATCTGGTTTCACCAAGGGGGGTCCTCCATCCTGGACCAGCATTCAAGTTAGAGGCATATCGCTTGGAGGAACTTGTTTGTTTGTTCTCTCTCGTCTGCATGAAATTGAACCGCGTCTGAGACGTTCTTGATATCACAGGGACCACCAACTTGGTATGAACAGGTCAACGTAAGTCTCCTAAATTTATGTCTACTCCATTTCTTAACTAAGCCGTTCCTAGATGGGTCACGAAGAAGTGATGAAGGGAGCCGAAGAACTAACTATATGGAGCGCCAGTTGAAAAACCCCGGGCTCGATGACTCTCGTAACCTGTCATTGCCTCCTAGAAATGTTAGGACTCGTTATATGGCTTCTCGCCCGAAATCTCCTCTCTGTATGTACCATCAGGAATTCTCCTGACCATACCTCTTTTCTGTGACTGTCTGCTCGCTCCTTATTATCCTACATCCGAATCGTCTGATCTGGGTATGGTCTCAAAATTATATTCCTCTCTCAAGGTGCGTTTTCTGTATTGGCAATCTACTACATCGTCTGCCCTACAGGAGGCGGCGAATGATGTCCTTCCATGAAACTTTTAAAACAAAACCTTTTTAACCATCCTCGTCGTTGCCATGAATGAAGTAAACAATGCTCCTTAAGCGAATTATCTACTTATTCTGGCGACCTTTCATAAGCCTGATACCGACGAACAACACTTTTCTTCGCGATGGCAACGTCAGCAAGATGTAAAGAACTTTTCGGAGGGTTGTCTAAGCTTGTACAACGCCAGAAGACCAGAGACAAACGGATAGCAGAAATGAGGAGAAAAACTACGAATCCCACACCTGTAAGCAGATCATGCGAGGAACCCCTACGGAATCGTGAATTCCACACAGCACTGTTATTTATTTCGGCAAGGCACATAACACAATCTACAAATAATAGTACACATCATTCAGTCCACCTCCTGTATGACCAACCCGTCCCCCAATCCTCCATCAATCTCATCATCATCATCATCGCTATCCAGGGAGGGAAGAACACCGCCCGCTTCGCTCACGCCCACCACGAGCGCCTTCAGCCTCGTAAGAGTCTCCTCAGCCTCACCAGCAGCCCGCCTCTTCACATGCTCGACGTAATCATTCACGTTGTCCAATGGATCCCATGACATCCGGTGTCCACGCCAGCCGCCGTGGTCATGAACGTAGTTCATGAATGACCTCCATACAGGATCCAGCGCCAATACGTCAGAGTTGCCGACAATGATGAGCAGGGCTTGAGCACGGGTCATAGCGACTGCGGGCTCCAGTGTAAATCGTGATTAGCCAGCAAGTCAGATACGCGAGACGCACCGTTGAACCGACGAGGACTCGCAACGAAGCCGAGAGAACGTCGAATGTCTGAAGCAATGAAATCCGAGTTACTGCGCACAGTGGATATGATGACTATCCGGCGTTCCTATCCAGGAAGGGGGGGACATGAATAATCTTTAGAAGAAGCGAAATTGATTGAAAAATACCTGTCCCTGAAACTCCTCGACGCTCCCGACGCTAACGTCCTTTAACTTGTGATCTTTGCGGAAGAGCTCTAAGATCTTCATTTTCTGCGCATGATATGGGGTAATAATGGCAATATGTTCAGCGCCTAGGACATTTTATCAGCACGACCGCCTTGACTGTTATTAAGGGAGAGATGCCTCACGTGTACCCTTCTTTTCAACAAGCCGTAAGCAATACTTCTTAACGAGTGTGGCTTCATCGATATTGAAATACGACGGTGATGATTTCTCCCTTTGATCTCGACCAACCACCGCATGGAAAATGATCGGGAACTTCTTTGTCGGAAGCTCGTCCCAATTTTCAAAGCTCCTCGTCAACATGGGATCACCACATGCCCGTAGTCGGTTCCTGTAAAACTGTGCATTCGAAAAGGCCAAAATACCCGGATGGGATCGGAAATTCTGGAGGAGCTCCACGACCCTGAAGAACAGCAAAGCATGAGAAAAGACAGATCCAAAGTGTAAGAGAGAAAAAAAAAAGTTACGTAACACCCCATCCTCCGCCACTTCCGTTGGCATTCCATGGCTCCAGGCCATAACACGGTCTCTTCATCAGCCTAACCAAATAGCTCTCCACGAGCCCCAGATCCCTCGCCAGCCTCGAGGTCACAGTCGGAGTTAGCTGCTCCGGATCACCCGCCAAAATCACGTTCGTATATTCGTCCGCCAATCCCTTGATAGGTACCATCGTATCAGGCTCCGTCGCCTGGCCCGCCTCATCGATAAAAATCCACCCGAAATGCCCGCGCTTCACGCCCAAGCCCGTGAGGGCACCGGCGGAAATGCACGTACAGACCACGACACGCCGTCGAAGGACGTCTTCCAGAATAGGCATAGCAAAAGTTCCGTTTCCGTTGATGAGGGAGTATGGCTGGAGGGTAAGGGGGAGACGGGATAACTTGCGGGACATGGCGTTCAAGCGGAAGATGTTCATGGGACCGAGGTGCATGAGCCCCTGTGCGATGAGGTCGGCGGATTCGTTGCTGGGTGTGCATGCTAAGATGTGGGCGTCGGGGTGACGCTGGAGGATTTGTCTCATGGCTTCTACGATGGTCACCGTCTTTCCTGTTCCTGGGCTGGACAAGCCATTTGGGTCAGGCGACGTATGAATACTAATAACGGTGAGTACTTACGGCCCGAACACGATGAAAGGCACGCTTCCTCTTGGTTGATGTACGATAGCGGCTACTGTCTCTAGCTGTTCAGGATTATTTCCAAGACTGCGGTTAAAAGGGACCAGCTCCTTCAACACATCTCGGGAAACAGGTCGCGCCGATATCAAGTGCTCAGGACCTGGGAAGAGTAACCGAGCAAGGTCGTTCTTATTGACCAGAGCCTGGTGCGCCCGACGGCAGGGTAGCCGATTCAAGACGAATCGTACATCAAACTTTGTCCCGCGGTAGGTATTGAAGTCATCGCTGAAGCGAAGGCTGACGTGCTCCATGGCAACGTTGTGAACGCGTCCTTCGAACCAAGCCTTGTCGGGTTGACCGACGGGACGAACGAGAATGTAATCTCCGATAAGAACAGAGGGACGACCTTCGGAAAGACCTTCGACTTTGAGCCTGAATATGGTAGGTTGGCCCCACGCACTCAGTGATTATCATAAATACTTACTTGTATCTAGGGTAGTCCGCCTTGATCTCAACGCCCTCCATAGAGTAAGCGTCCAGATCCTGCCTGTACGATGAGATGAGCAAAGCGTCTGCACCACCAAAGCCGAAAACAAACTTTTTCTGCTCTTCTTCCAGATAAAGCATGGTTTGGAAGTGCTGTGCATACTTCGAGATGGTGAACGACGAAGGCATGAATCGTTTGACATCTTGCTTGGCGGATCTCTTCACATACCCTTTTTCAGTATATACTGCCTGAATCAGGTTCTTCGGGACATTGAACTGGGGAAGCTTGGAGAACTTTGTCGGGGTCCAAGTGGGAGGGCGAAGGCTGCGTTTGATGGGACCGTCTAACTTGATGTTGCGGCGCTTACGTCGGGTGTAAGGGGCCTTGGGAGCGAGGTGCTCGTGATCAGCACGACAACCGACAGTAGCGAAGACCTGTCGCTGGATAACAAACCGGTGGCGTTTGACAATATTGATGAATACTAGTTCTAAGGTGTCCTCGAAACGCCCAGCATAGGATGGATGGAAGGTGACAGAGACCTTGTGAGGTCGAGCGGAGCGTATGAATTTCGAAGCCGGGGTTATGGTCACGGAGAACCTAGTGGTGGGGCCATCATCAGTCTCAGTCTCCAACCAACCGAAGAAAATGCGAAGCCTTCCTCTAGAAAGGATATCCAGAATATGGAAAGAAAACGGCAAAGAAGAGAGAGAAATCCCCCCGTAGAAATGCGGAGACGACTCACTTGACGCCATGTTCATCCTGCCTCTGCGAAGACAGCATCCTGAGCTTGGTCAGCGAGATAGGCGCGCCGGAGTCATCGCCGCTGGTCCTTTGCACGAGCATTTCGACCACCACAGGCAGTTGCTCGTCTTCATCGACGATTCCGAAATCAAGCCCCGTCAAGTTGGACACTTCAATCCCGTTCTTGTTTCTCTGAGCCTCGTTCAATGTCGTCGCCAGCCGCTCTTGCACCGTATGAGTCACTACATGAGCCTCGAGCTCATTCTCCAGAAACTCTCTACTCGGGCTGCAATGGGGGCACTGCTTTAGCTTCGGACCAGCCTTTCCCCGCTTCGACACAGGTCGTTGTGTGCCTGCAACAATATGCTGATGTCGTTTGCCGTGTATATGGGGTTCATAGTTGCAAATGTCCAGGACAAGCCCGCAACTGCATTTCGTGATGTCATGGCGTAGCTGGCATGTCCCTGGCGAACGTTTGCAGCCATCTGGAGAGACAGAATCGTAACACCAGCCGACTGCCATCGTGATGGTAGGAGTAGAGGCGCCAATGATGTTTGTTCCCCCGTGGGATAAGAAGGCAAAGCGTGGCTTCCATACATCAACGTAAACAGTCACTCGGTGTTCCGTGATGAGCGGGTAGACCGGTCAGACCTAATAGACATGAGGATTCCTGCCAAGAATGGACGATTGAGGTAGTAATATCCACTTACAAGTACGTTGTCTAATGAAATCGATACCAATGCCAGGACCGATATTGGCAGAAAATGATTTCAGTCCCCTCATGGACGAATTGGTAGCCATCTGTATAGCATACAGGTCAGATCAGCATGGATATCAGGGCATTTACCGACCACTGGTCTAGCCAAGTCTGCCAGTTTGTGTATGTTTGTATGCATCAAATGATCGCCGTCGTTCTTGTTGAATTGGATTACGTCGAGTTCGACAGCATACTACAGCTTGACAGTAATACATTGCTTTCGTGAGTAGAGAGGCTCTTTTGAACTTTGTCAAAAACCATGGTTTTGCCGGTTTATTGCTATTTCGGCGATCTCGGATCACCTTTGGCGTGCTCGGTCCCCAAAACCCAGTTTATGACCAAGTCCGAGCTAACAAGGCCACTGGCTGCAAACGGCTGTAATTTCCGGGATGGTTTCGTAGCATAACAGTCTGTGAAGTTCGTTCGCAGTGACGACGATGATCCACTGATGAGGAAACCGTCTACGGAAGCTAGATCTAGACGTTAGACAGTGCTGTTTGAAAATAAGCAGAGGATGATCAATGATGTTCAGCAACGTGCATTTGCCGACGCGGCACATAAGGACGATCGCTCCGGCCCGGAGTCTTTCTCTTTTCAAGGATGCCCTTAGAGTCATTTGAACAACGAAGTCTCGAATGACATTAGAAACGATAGATACAAACCCATTATGAATGTATGCTACAAAAGAAAAATCCGCCAGAAAATTTCTTAAGAAGTAGTAACATTAATACCCCCATAGACTGTACCCTCTATCAAGATCGGATTCCCATCCGTTCCATTGATAGGGTAAATCGTGTGAAGGCCTATCGTATACTGAGCACCTTCAAACAACAACGGGTAGTACGGGAACTAGGCAGCAAAAATGTATGAACGAGCCAACATATGGAATCCTTTCACATACCTGAGCCGTGAAAGTAAGAGTTGGAGACAGAGGCGCCGCCGGTACAGTGTATGACCGACGGTCAAGCAGAATCGCAGGCTCATGTCCATTGTTGCCCTCGGGAACCTCGATGTAAAAATCTGTGTACGTCGGGACGATGTCAAAGTACAAGGCACATGCAAAGTCTGCGTGAATCGTGAACCACTTAACGCATAGGAACCACGTAAGATTTGGGCTCCATATACAATCTGGTAAACCGACTACTCACCGTGCCAGGTTGCAAATCAGAAGGAACTATTTCGAGGACCCCAAACCGGTCAGCCTCTGCGCATGACTGGCGTTTGTCAACAACAGGTGAGGCGATGGCTGCGACAGCAGCAAGGACAAAGGCAAGAACAGTGGTAAGATTCATCGCAAGAAATGACCTTGAAGATGCAATGAACACAGAGCATGGGCTTTTATATGCAGGAATGAAGGCCTTTTCAGGCCGTGAAGGGAATTCTGTGGAGCATTGTCGTACCTTTGACCCCAAAGTAGTGCAGTTGTGAAACGTTGAAGAGCATGAAACGTTCTCGAGACCGCTGCATAGGCGATTGCAGGAGGGTCGTGGGGACAACTTGAAGTATCGCCACATGCACCGGCCGGGACCACCCTAGAACGCCTAGCATTCGACTCGGGATCTACTTGAGGAGCACACTAATATTATGGGTGTACTGGTACTACAACTCGATTATGGCATTCCCGAGCGCGGAGGGAAAAACTTGGGACCACTAGCAGGCATACAAGTTTTTTGATTCTTGTCTTCAAGGACCTGATGGTGGTAAGAACCTTTGCCTGTGATGCAGAATGTAAAGAAAAAAGGGCGCATTTACACAAAGAAGTTGCTTGTTCCTAGGCCTGCTCCGCTTTCAATGATTTGCTACACCAGCGTCAAAGCGTCTTTCGTAATGTGATCCGCGAAGCCTTGATGAGGAAGCCATCTACGGAAGCGAGATCTAGAATTTTCCGTTCTTGTTGATTGACGTTAGACGTAGTGTGGGAGAATATGGGCGAAATACAAGCGAAGCACATGTCCAGCTCCAACAAAAAAGAAAGCCGACTTGAAAACTGTATCTTTGCCATCTTTCTTATCTCACATCATGTCCTCTTAGCTTATTTGTACTATTAATGCTTCCCTCACAGCTACTACTTTCAACTTTTACTACTTACGAGCTACCGAGATAGATTGGTTTACACTTATTTATCTGAGCCGTATCAGCAGAAGTCACCGAATTATACAGTCTTACAGTTTTCAAGATGCCCTTAAGAGTCATTGAACAACGAAGTCTCGAATGTCATTAGAAACGATAGGTTCAAGTCCATTGTGAATGGATGCTACAAAAGAAAAATCCGCCCGAAAAATCCTTAAGAAGTAGTAACATTAATGTCCCCATAGACTATACCCTCTATCAAGATCGGATTCCCATCCGTTCCATTGATAGGATAAATTGTATGAACGCCGATCGTGTACTGAGCACCTTCAAACAACACCGGGTAGTATGGGAACTAGGCAACAAAAATGTATGAACGGGCCAAAATATGAAGTCATTTCACGTACGCTCGCAGTGAAGGTAAGAGCCTGAGTCAGAGGCGGTGGCGACAAAACAAACGTCCGACGGTCGAGCAGAATGGGAGGCTCGTGTCCGTTGTTGCCCTCGGGAACCTCTATGTAAGTATCGATGTAAGTCGGGACGACGCCTAACTCCACGGCACATGCATAGTCGATGTGAACCGTGAAACCCTGAAACACGTAAAAAATTGGGATATACAATGCAGTAAATCGACTGCTTACCGTGCCAGGCTGCAAATCGGAAGGAACTATTTCGAGGACCCCAAACTGCGCAGCCTCTGCGCATGACTGGCGCTTGTCAACAACAGGTGAGGCTATGGCTCCGACAGCAGCAAGGACAAAGGCAAGAACAGTTGTGAGATTCATTGCAGAAAATGACCTTGAAGCTACAGTGAACACACGGATCATGAGCTTTTATAACATGGAGGATACAGGCAAAAGGCCTTCCCAGGCCGTGAAGGGAACTCTGTGGAGTGTCACTGTACCTTTGGCCCCCAAAATGGTGCAGCCGTGAAACGTTGAGGCGGATGAAACGTTCTCGAGATCCATAATATCCCCATGACGAAGAGTCTATTGTAGCTTCGGGAAGCAAGCCGATGTATTTTTATTCTAGTATGGAGAGAGGCGGAAGCATAGGCGATTGTAGGAGGATCGTGCGGAAAATCACCGCCGCATGCACCGGCCAAGCTCACCCTAGAACACCTAGCATTTGACTCGCATCTACTTAAGGAGAGCATTATTATAGCTCGATTTTTGCATCCCCAAGCATGGAGGGAAAAGCTTGGGACCACTAGCAGTCATACAGGCTTTGACTCATGTCTTCAAGGACCTGATGGTGGCAGGGATTTTGCATGTGACTAGACGAGTCTCCACCAAAGGCGGGGCTGCTACTTTAGGTAAACAGCATCCAGATAGCCGCGGAACGTCGTTCCATTTCCTGTTTGTTGGTAAAAGAAGAGAATTTGGGCACAATTTAGGGCGTCTAGTCTTACCTTCAGCGTAAAAAACTAACAAGGTCCGTGGAAAAGCATATGGAAGGATCGAACATGATCGAACTCCGGCGTTCTACCGGTGACCAAAGTCAGAACACGACCACGTGCCATAATATTTCCCGAAGCGGACATAATGACTCAAATTGATTCCGGGGAGATAAAAGGCCGCGTGGCATCAAATTTTTCTTCTCTGTAGCGCTCATGTCGTATCCTTACCATGGCCAATATTCAGAACAGTATTCGGACCCCTCAACGCCGCGTGAAGTTTTCCCTTCCTGGGAGGTTATTGAACATCAACCTCAAACCCAACAATCTGAGCCCGTTTTTACCGACCAGCTATCGCCGCTGACCCCAACGTTGCCGCCGATGTACACGCAAACGGTACAGCCGGAGCATCTGAGTGCTGCAGGCCAGAGCTCTCCCATCGATAATAATACCATTCAACTTCTTCCAGTACCTCAACCCAGGTCGGCTTTTGATGACGTGGAATTACACTGTGTGATGCTTATTCCGTTGCTAATAGGTCAGAGCCGCCAACGAGAGGACGTCAGCACCTTCGTCGAACTCCGCCTCGATCCAGAGAGCACAGAGCTCATCCTTATGTTCGGCCAGGCAGCGCGGCTGGTCCTAGTCAAAACCAGGATCCTGTCATTAGATTTGTCCCACCGATACTGGCCCCAGTCAGGGCACCTACCGGACCGCCCACTCCTCAACGTCCTCGTTCGTAAGTCAATTACTATTTCATCCATCGAATGATAGCTTACGCAGTGATAGCTCCCCCGTCTCGGTCGGCAGTCGCGAACGCACCTCTACCTCTCTCTTACTTTCGCAAGCATCGCGAACCCTCTTCATCCGGTTCGACTGGCGCTACGATCCCGAGACTACAACGATCACCGCCCACTTTGAGCTTCCCGGCGTTAAGCGCGAAGATATTTCCATCCGTCTCTGGACGTGCTTTTATAACCACTCCAGGCAGGTAACTGTATACGCCACCAGGCATGCTCCCTTTCCCGGAGCCACAACGTCGCGAGATCCCGCGCCAGGGAGTGAGATATTCTGGATTGAGGGCAAGTACGGTCAATGCAAGAGATCCATCGTCGTTTCCCCAGACTGCAAAGTACGCCCCCACCCTCCCCTGTCCTGCGCTTCGGTTTCCCTTCTGTTCTGTAAGACACCCGTGACTTACGATGTCCTAGCCGGAAGATATCGATGCAAGATATGAGGATGGGATTCTTGTTCTGAAGATCCAATGCGGTCCGCCTGATGACAAGAATGAGGTCCAGATGGTACCTCTTCGATGAGAGCGTCGATCTGTTTTTGAGTCTTCCGTTCAAGCCCCCCCGGCATGTGTGATTCCGCCCTGCCCCCCTCAACTTCTCAAGATTTGAAGAAAAGATTCTCTTTTTGGCCCGGCAAAAAAACTTCGTTTGGCTTTCAACGTCCGTCTTGAATCTTTCTTGGATTTTCCAAAAAGCGGCCTCGAGTAGGCGAGCGCTTGCTTTATCATTTTCTTTAATCATTATCATTAGCATATATCTTCGCATCGTCATATTTACTGTAGCTAGTAGTGTTCCGTAGCATCGTTTCTTTTTTCTCTTCTTGTGTTAGAAAGTTTTCCCGCTTTGTTGTTTACAACCCCTGTCAATATATACCACAAATTCAGGACCTTTATCTGGAAGCTCCTTTCGTCGTTGATTGTTGTAAGATTCAAATCGCTCCTTCATGGTAACTACCTCAAAGTACGATTCTTAAGGACGCCTAACGTACTGGACCCACAACTGTTTCAAGTCACAGAGAATGGTCTTAAATAATAAAGCCCCTCAATAGTATTATCATTATCGTCATGATTGAGCGTTACAAAAGGCAAACACATATTTGATCAGAACCTAGTTGGTCTGTTTGTAGATTCGTCGGTTCTCTGGAAGTTCTTGAGGTACTTCGGATATATCGTCCAAAGCACTGTTTCCATAGCAGATGAAAGAACAGCATAAAGCTCGCGCCAAAGTGAAAGGGTTGAAGAACGTATCATTTTCATTTTGTCTCTCGAGCTGGTTCGTCTGAGTAACAGACCAAAGCTGACATAATCTTTCAACAATTCCTCATGCCAAGCGAAGCCACGGATCGCACAGAGGCGCCTCAGGACAGCAAATTGTACACGCCCGATTCCGGAAGGAAGGAAGGAGAAATATTTTGGGTCAATCACCAGCCTTTTCTCGCCTCTCGAGGATACATGCTCCGACCACGATATCATGCTGACTGGGTTCCTTCCTGGCAGTCGAATCCTCGACCGAAGAAATTCGGCGTGTACTATGAAGACCAGCACATCATCCATTACAGTCCCGTACGTCTTCGACTGGCATACATTGTTCAATTGCTTGGGACTATACACCTAGCGCTGGCGGATCATAGATGCGATACGTACCTCGGATGGCTGTCAAGTCGTTCTCAAGGTAGTTCCACGGATGTAGCCAGATAATTTGGAGTTGCAGATCACCATTTAACTTTCCTCAGCCGAGCTGAAGGACAATCCTCGAAATCACGCCATACCTCTCCTTGATGTCATTCAATTTCCCGACGAGAATTGGGCATTGCTTGTCAAAGCTATGTTTCGTTACTTCGCCTCTCCAAACTTTCATTGCGTGTCAGAGTTCATTGAGCTCTTCCGACAATTACTCGCCGTCGAGTTTCTTCCTCAAACAGCGTTTTGACAAATCACTCGCTCACACTTCAGGGTTTGGAATTTATGAATAGGTTGAACATTGCGCATGGGTAACTGTTACCTTTTGAGAATTCCAGGTTTATGAATCTAACGACTCCTCGCAGAGACATCACTATAAACGACATTGTCATGGATCATCGACGCGTCATCGCTAAAGGCATTCATTTCGCTATGGATGGCAGTCATGATGGTGCAACCCGCGGTCTTTTTACTGAGCTTCGAGTCCGTGTGGCCCCCGTCAATTACTACTACATTGACTTCGAGTTTGCACAATGTTTCCCTGAGGGCATAGAAGTGGCTGCTGTTCCTAAGCTAAGTTTCGACGGTTCCTATGGAGTACCCAACAATCCCTTCAAGGAAGATGTCTATGACCTCGACGAAGCAATTTTCACCACATTGAAGGTAGCTTCGTCATCCTCTGATAATAACTTTATTGAGGGATAATATGGGAATATATTTGGCTGGCCAACTTCAAGCCCCTGCTTAAAAGAATGATGTCGCGCAGTCCTGACAAGCGGATGACGGCGTCAGAAGCACTTTCATAATCAGATGCCCTTTTTTCATGGCTTGGTGACACGCCTATGCAGTGGCGGATATGGAATACACCCTACCGTGATCCCACGTATCCTCCGCCGTGGAGTCGGCTTCCCTACTATTTATTCCCTTCTCGTCATCTCTTCGCTTGAACATACCTTTTTTCCATCGTCTCTATAGATTCACAATTGCATAGCATTGATTTTCACACCGGGACTAATTGGACGTGAACCAAACCACAGCACACACATTGTCACTGAATTTTCAGCAACAGATCTAAACCCCATCTATGAAAAGGAAACCACCTGTATCTTTGGCTGAAGTTCTGCGTTGTAAACAGGTTTCTCTATCTGTGAGTCATCGCAGTACCGCTGAAAGGTTCCTTATTTTTCTGATCACGACGTTCATAGCCAAGGGTGCTCGGGAATGTCGGCCCGGCACAGCCGGTAGGGTCTTGGAAGGCCTGAAAATTTTTTTATGAGAATCCCTATTATTCCTTGTACAGGGACTGACTGTGATCAATCTATCCTGTTTTTCGAGTGCCAAAGAATTGGGTGCGTGACGCCTGCCGAGTTCAGAGGCGTTGAGGTCGCGATGTGGAGGGGAGGTTGCAACGAAACTGCCGGAAAGGGCCATATGGCTTAGTCATGAAATTGATGTCATATATTGCGTCAGTATATATCACGTGGTTGGGTCGGTACCCCTTCGATGCCTGAGAATAAAAAATTTCGACCCCATGTACAAAATTGAATTTGGCGAGCACCCTTGTTCATAGCTGCGAAGAGCCTGGCCTGGCGACTGCAGGTTCTGGGATTGTCGGCCAGCATGTGCCGAGGACGAAGAATCCAGACGACGTAGTGCTCTAGGGCAGATGTGTACCAACTCGCGAAGCTCATGGTATTAAAGGTAGTTTTCTCAAGATATCGGGACAGCCATTGATTGCTAAAGATGATGATCTCGCCTGATCGCGACAAGGAACCGCATGCATCAGAGGCACATGCACGTTTTGACGCCCTTGTTTCACGATTGAGTAATCCATCGACGAGGTGGAGGATATGGAACATGGCCTACCTGGGTGACTCGTTCCCTCCACACATGTTTCTCTCCCGTCGCGCTTTCGCTTGGACTTACCCGATTTGTTCCATTTTTGAGCAGACGAAACACATATTATTGACGTTCACGCCGGGCCTGAATCAACATAAACGAAGCGCAGCAGGTGTTTTTTATCATTGATTAAACCCAACCCTCAGAATCAGGCCCAAATGTGAAAAGGAAAATGCCCGTGTCCTTGTCGGAAGTTCAAATCTGCATTTCATATACGTTCTTCTATCCGTGAGTCACCTCAGTACCACCAGCATTTCCCTAGTTTTTCTGACTGCGATGTCTGCATCTGCCAAGAGACTGGGCTGCTTCGAAGATCGAAAGCTTTTCTCGCAGTCGTGATGATTTGATCTCACGAGGACCTCGTTGCAGGCATCTGCTTTCATGATCCATAGCTTGATCTCCGTCTTGCGATTAGAATTTACTATCCCACTGGGATCTTTGACTCGTCTGGGGATGCCACGATCGTGGCATCTATCAAAGAGCACGTCGCATCAGACCTCGCGATTTACATGAGCTGATTCATCGGGCTCTGAAGCAGATTTTTAAGGTTCGGGACAAGATGCCATCAAGAAGGGTCCAAGTTGATGGTCGTTTTTCATTGATGCAAAAAAATGGAGATATCACGTTGTAGCTGCCATCGATCTTGTTCGCCCTGTAAGGTTATATATATCTCTTGTATATCTCTGATTTTTTTGGCTGACTCGGCTGACAGGGATGTCGTTCTTGATGTCGACGCCTGAAACGCGTAGTTTTTGGCTATTGCCACCGCGGTGTCTGGAGGGCATTGGGAATCGGCCGCTGTTAGCCCAAATCGTCATCACGGAGCAGCTGTCCGAGGATGGTGTTAGACGAATATATCCTCCAAGTCAACGATTATCGGTGGAGCGCTGAGAGCTAGATTCAGGAACCAATCCCAGTGTCTAACTTTGACGGCAACATAGTAGCCTAGGGCCTTGAATGACTAGGAGGCATATGACAACTCTCATACCCGGCGAAACGGAATATCTGTCTCATTGTGGTCCTGAGCGCTTGTTGCTCCTGTCATACGCATAGATTCGAGCCATTATAGGATACAATGGTCTTCCGCTCGTCTTCCTGGAATCTGATTTGGAAGCCACGAGGAAGACAGGCACGATAAGACCCTAGAATGAACGAGCCTCTGATTTGGGTGTACGTGAATTCAAACCAGGGTTTACGGGCCAGAACTCTACGACGGGACCAGAGGATGTCGATATCAGGCTCCTACGTACAACGAGGCGAGGAGTTCAATTTGATTTTTCTTGAGGAGTGCTACAATCGGATACGAACCCAACACATTGGCGTCGGTACCGACATGACTCACTCAAAAACGATGTGAACCTCGAGGCATTTCTGAGCAGAAGGAGATAAGTAGGTACTCTGTTTGTCCTTGTACTGAGACTGAAAGAGGAAGCTTCAAAGACCACGACACTTATGGCCTGGTTCAAATGCACGGTAAATTCCCACGCTGATATGGGATCGGGAATCCCTCTGCGCGCAGCTCAATCAGCTCATCTTTCCCCTTTCCCTGCCTAAAATTGGCACCTTCTTCAAAGAGATGACAATCCGTAAATGACGATTCGTTTGAAGTGACCGAGTCCAGAAACCTCGTCTGCATGACATATTAACATATATCTGAAAGAACAAAATAGCATGGCATTGGAGGATAAGTTCCGATCAGATATCAGTAGCAGGGTATACAATATGAATGTGGCATTAAAGATAATCAGATGATGTGGGGTCGATGATTTGGATAACAGTAGCTCAAAACAAAGCAAAACATGGAGGAGTGCAACTTGAGGGTGGTCTAGTAGAAAGCACTGCTGTGATGGATTGGTATTTACAAGGGGTCAAATCCTGTGACATATTTTAATAGAAATTTTGAACCTAAATCCAAGTAAGGAAATACCATCCAGATTTGATGGCTGGGGATTTAGTAAACAAAACCCACTCAAAAAGACCTGTAGGATTTGGGAACATCTTTGTTACAGGATTACATAAGAGATTTGAGAATGAAATCTGGAACAAATACCTATCATAGCCAAGAGACAAAGGGCCAAGTACTTGTTTCAGATTTCATTCTCAAATCTCTTATGTAATCCTGTAACAAAGATGTTCCCAAATCCTACAGGTCTTTTTGAGTGGGTTTTGTTTACCAAATCCCCAGCCATCAAATCTGGATGGTATTTTCTTACTTGGATTTAGGTTCAAAATTTCTATTAAAATATATCACAGGATTTGACCCCTTGTAAATACCAATCTATCACAGCAGTAAAGGGAGCCTCAGCAAACAAGGAAATTTTCGCCATAAAGATTGAACAAATAACAGTGGAGGCTTTCCCCATGATGCAGTCAGCCAAATACATCTATAAGCCCATATCTTCTCTTTAGATGCAATAAATTCATCCAACTGTTGGAGGGCTTCAGTTGTGTTTGGTCTAGCAAGAGGATCATCACAGGTCAGCCAAAGCAGGAATTGTCTGAAATTGTCTAGTCCATAGTATTCCTGTAATCCATATCAACTGAGTTCCAGAAGATCAGAGAAAAATACATTGTATGTCACATAGGGACAGGAATATAGCATCAATGTTGTATATATCCAGTTTGAAAGGATTGTGTGGAATATACACCATGAACTCAGAGGCAGTTTTGATTTGACAATGCACTCCAAGGATAATTGCATTATCCCTGCTTTCTGGCATTTCCTTTAAGCTTTCAAAGTTGATGATATAGTAATGAATGGGCATGATGTGGCAGTGCTGATGGATTAGAAGCCTGAGATGCACACTGTCGATGCTATCCTGATATGCAAAATAATAAAGCAAAATTCTAAGAGTAGTCTGTTAAGAGACCTCAATGCATACCTCTGGGATCTGGCAGATCACCTCTGCAAACTCTGATTGACAATGGAAATCGGGAGAACTGAGGTCTTGAAACTTGAGCATAACAATGATAACCTGAGCTTTATCATCTGGAAGTTCTAAGATATCAAGGACAGATACAGAGTGGTTCCATGGATTCTCCAGAAGTTCTGGTAGAGAGTCGTTTCATCATAGCTAGCTCTGCTGAATCCACAGGAGTTGGTCTGAGGATGACTTGAAATTTGTCAGACAATTGGATGGCATCTATAATCTATGCAAGATTCTAAGATATTTTCAGATTATTTGTTTATTCATGAACTGAAGAAAATGCATGCAAGCAAGTTGTTTATCCTCGAAGAGACTGCAATGACAGTACCATCTCAAACCATCTTGTATCTGGTATGAGAATCAGCTTGGGTCATAATGAGGATGTAATTTGTAGCTCTTTTCAAGTAGAAAGCTGTAGTTCTGGACCCAAAACTGCTTGCCTTCATCCCTTGGGTCTGCAATACAGATTTTGCTTGTCATGTTGTGCCTGATGCTATGATTAGTAATTGAGCAGCTGAGCACTGGAGGATTGGACTATTTGCCAAGCACCTGTCAAGGGAAGTGGCTGTGTGGGAGGTTAATGGTTCCTGTCTCTCCAAAAATACAAGTCTGACTCATTGACTGGCAGCCTGGGAGCGAGAGGTTATCAATGAACAGGCAAACCAGTTTTAATTCCAGGAACAGTTTGGCTGATTTTTGAGTTGGATAGTTACAAATACTCTCATCTCCCCAAAATCTCTCTCTCAGCTTCAGTTCCAGTTCATCTTTCTGTTTTCTCAACTTCATTGCTCTTTCCTCCACACCATGCAGCAAAAATAGCTTGAAGAAGTCAGGGTAGAGATCAAACATTTCAAGAGTGAGGTGGAAAACAATCACTACTTGAGCAAGGCCCAGATAACATGAATTATCAACCCCACAAACATGTATGAAATCTACTTTTTGTTGAACTAGACATGGGATACCCACCATGATTCCACAATGTATGCTGCTCTTTCCTTTATCCATACCCCTATACTTCACACATCAGTATATATACCAGTAGAGTAGATCCACTACCTCAGTCTGTTAGGCTCAGGCTGCACATGATCAACATGGCACATGATAAACCAATGTGGCTTCAC